CTATAGGACATCTTTGGCTAAGAGACCAAATAGGCCCATTATTAGTAAATTGCTTACCTATAATCAGTGATGATTGTAATAATGTTTTATCATAACCCATCCTTGTCATGTCTTTTCTTGCAGTTTCTCAAGGTTGCATATTTGCAGAAAGGTGAATATGTGGGGAGTGTCTGTAGATTTATTGAAAAGTTTATTTCTCTACAAGTGACTACACTTGGTATTAGTGGAGGTAATCTTCACTAGATCTGGCTAATAATTCCAAGAAGTCTGATAGCAATTGAAGCCAATAAGTTTAATTAATCAATACTTATCTTCTAAGGATATTTCTGCATATGGGGCATTTAGAGTATACAATCTTCATCTGGAAATCTTGATGTTTATAAATCTAGTCAAGACTAGAAGTTGTTATAATAATTAAGTCAGATAAAAATCAACTCTTAAGCCCTAACCGGTTTGGCTCAGTGGATAGAGCATCAGCCTGCGGACTGAAGAGTCCCAGGTTCGATTCCGGTCAGGGCATGTACCTTGGTTGCGGGCACATCCCCAGTAGTGGTTGTACAGAGGCAGCTCATCGATGTTTCTCTCTCACTGATGTTTCTAACTCTCTATCCCTTTCCCTTCCTCTCTGTAAAAAATCAAATAAAAATATATTTTTAAAAAATCAACTCTTAATCTTCCCTGAATTTCATGTCAGAAGTACAGAGAATAGGGGAGACAGCCTACTGGAGGAGTCTGAGAGGAAGACGGTAATTTTGCACAGGATTTTAGCCTGAATTATTAAATACACATGTTGTATTCCCAAAAGACAGGAAGCCACTCTAATTCAAACGCCTTAGCTTTTATTTATTTTTGATCCATCTACAGAACTAGTGCTGTGATGTTGGTTACTTTTGTTTGTTAGTTTTAACTACACTCAGCTTTCTGGTATTTTTATAATACAAATCTTTAATCTATTTGCTACTCTTCCACAGATACCAAGAAGAACTGCATAGATCAGTTAAACTCTCCTGTATTATCTTGGTACAAGTGTATCACTATCGTGTGCTTCTTTAGGGCTGGACTGTGGAAGGTAGATGAGGAAGGGAAAAGCACAGTGGTGGTTGTAGAAAAGATTCTATTTTCAGGGTCCTGAGGCTTTCAGGTGAGCGCTCTAATTATCTTAATTTATTCAAGGAGGGAAGTCAAAGGAAGCCAAAGAAGGGGACCACTTGGGGGAAACAAGTATTAACTACCATTTAACCTCACATGTTGGTTAACCAGCGTTCATATTTCCCCAAATGTCCAAATGACACTTATTTGTGTAAGACCTTTGATAGTATGTCCCATAAATATTAGATAATTATTAATTCTATAAAGAGCAACCAATAATGAACTAACAAAGATTAAAGATTTGTTCCTAATTATTAAAAGATAATTGTTTTTTTAAATATATATATATAATTTATTTCTACAGAGAGGAAGGGAGAGGGATAGATAGTTAAAAACACTGATCGGCTGCCTCCTGCACACCTCCTACTGGAGATGTGTCCACAACCCAGGTACATGCCCTTGACCGGAATCGAACCTGGGACCTTTCAGTCCGCAGGCCAACGCTCTATCCACTGAGCCAAACTGGTGAGGGCTAAAAGATAATTTTTATAAACCTGGCACACAAGTAGAACAAGATGTGTTGATTTAATATATATGTTCATAGAAATGAGGAGGCTCTCAAACATATTAACATCCACGGAAGTAGTGGCCTAGCTTTGGGGCATGGATGGAGAAGTGAAACAAGATAGAACTGAAAGGACTGCCAGTAGCCAAGGAAGCTCTGCCCCAGTCAGAGGAGCCTACGCATATTCCAAGTGTAAGAGAGCACCAGAAAAATCAGGAGGATCTTCCTGAGCTGATTCCACCCTTTATAATCTTTCTGTTTATATGTGACTGACCCAGTGCACAAATTTGTGCACCAGTGGGGTTGCTCAGAATA